TATATTTAAAGCGAGTTTTTTGGGCAGTGTAGAGTAGGGCTTGTTGTTTGTCATTTCTCCGATCACAAATGCAGGCATGGTTTTATGTTTACGCGGCGCGATGCAACGCAACGCGTAAAAAGACAGTATAAGTCATTATAATCTGTAATTATGTCCCCACTGGATGCAACAAATGCCTCGTTTATAATGGGTTTTAATGTTTTTGTCTCGTTGCTCCGGCCGGACAGCGCATCACAGTATGGTAAGGGGCGTAACATTTCCGTCACACGCTTGAGGTATTCGACCAATCACAACGCACTGGATAGCTGGCCGGTCACAGCACACCTTGCTTTTCAGACCGATGAGCTTTCTAAAAATCGACGCATTTCAGAAAGGCGGGGCATAGAGGAGAAACAATAATGTACAGTATGTGGAAAATAATGTGTTTTTTGAACCTTAAACCGCATAAACACATTTCATTACACCAAATAATGTTCTTTTTAGCAACATCATATGACCCCTTTAAATGTCTAAATATGTCCAAATAATTTTTTGTTTTTGAGTAATAAATAATGTCAGTTGGGATTTCATTCTGTGGCTTTTTATCATGTTAGCATCAGTGTGTTTACATGATCTATTCTGAATGACTAAGATGAACACTCACCACTGCTTTCCTCTTCAGGAGCTGTACTCTCCACCTACAAAAAGCAAAATAATAGTAATATAACACATTTCATTGTAACACAGAGAGGCAAAAATCTGCACTAATACCAAGAAAAAATATGATCACTGCAGTACTGTGCTTGTGTGAGCACAGTGTACTTTATTCAGTCTAACTTCTGAGGGAGTTTTATGTAGCCTACTTGGTGTAGGCTACACACTGAATAATAAGTATGTGCGAAAGTCACAAAAGTAAAACAATGTAAGAGAGATAAAGCCGGAGGACTAACAGGAAGACCTTGTCCAAGTTTAAAGTTAGATGTACAGTATACATGAATTACCAGTGAATCAGTTCGTGAGACAGAGGTGCTGGTAATGGACTGAGGTTGCTGAGTGATCGGCTCAGGTTCTTCTTCGGCGTCACTGGAGTCCCTGGGCTCCTCCTCGTCGAGAAGCTCCTCAGGCTCTAGTTCCTCCTGTAGAGGTGAAGAGGACTTGAACTCCTCCACAGGGGTTTGAACTGTGAAAGCAGTGTCTACAGCCTCTGCCTCTTGTCCTTCTGGAAGAAACTCCTTAACTGAAGGTACTTGACACCTGTGTATACACAAGTCATGAAGCAGACATCAGCTTTTATCTAAACAACAAGCTAATCACATCAGTAAGCAACTAACACATTTGTGTCAGCTATAAATAAACTCACATAAGCACAATTTTCGCATGATGGAGCAACAACAGACTGAGATGTGCCTGTTTTGATTTCCAAGAATCTCTGGTTAATTTTAAACATTTCCAAAATATTATAAACTATAAGCTGGCTTGACGCGTTACCGTCGTGTTTATTATAATGAACTTACTCTGAAATCAGACGCGGTATCTGAGCGCATCAGGTAACGCAGTATCCATATCCATCCATTTTTGTGCCGTTTGTTTATAAATTAACGTGATGGAAGTTGTATGATATATTGACGCGATTAACTAGAACGATAAAAATGTTTATTTTGGAAGTGGGGAATCTGCGCCATCCTTCACAGAGTCGAGGCAGAAAACAAGCATCAGAGGCGCGATTAGTAACTATAGCAACCGCAGAGGGGGCACCGTGAGTCTCTATGGGATGCTATGCGGTTGCCAGGACACAACATAATATTGAAATATTAAGCACTGCACCGGAAATGCGTGTATTGTAATTATGTGTGGCCATATTGTTATAAAACAATGATATAGCCTACAAATACAGAGAAATACAAATAAAACATGTTCGCTACAAGGAAAGCATGAGAACAGTTGATTGAATTTATAATAAAAATGTTTTTTTTTTCCCCAGTATGTCTTACTCTGCAATTTGATTTCGTATGACTTCTATATCACTTTCCTCTTCCTGCAGCACTTGTAATCTGTGACACAGAAAAATTCAAGTTATTAAGGTTTTGGTATGCATATCAAGGATGTTACCAAATATTTAATATATTTAATATACAGTGGGTACGGAAAGTATTCAGACCCCCTTCAATTTTTCACTCTTTGTTATATTGCAGCCATTTGCTAAAATCATTTAAGTTAATTTTTTTTCCTCATTAATGTACACACAGCACCCCATATTGACAGAAAAACACAGAATCGTTGACATTTTTGCAGATTTATTAAAAAAGTTAAATATATGAGTGTCACAGCAAAGGGTCTGAATACTTAGGGGCCAGTTTGGGGCCAGTAAGATTTTTAAGAAATTAATTATTTTATTCAGCAAGGATGCATTAAATTGATCAAAAGGCACCGCAATTACACTACATTGTTACACAAGATTTATGTTATCATGGTTTTCACAAAAATATTAATAAGAAGCACAACAGTTTTCAAAATTGATAATAATAATAATTGTTTCTTGAGCAGCAAATCAACATGATTTCTGAAGGATCATGTGACACTGAAGACTGGAGTAAAGTAAAAATTTACTAGAAGTTAAACAACACCTTTAAAAATATTCAAAGAGAACTCAGTTATTTAAACTATAACAAGTTTTCACAATATTTCTATTTTGGGGAGCATGACAGATTTCTTAAAAAAACACTTTAAAAAATCTTACTGACCCCAAACTTTTAAACGGTAATGTACATGTCTTAAAAGCAGCCTCAGAGTAGCCACAATTATAAGTCAAGGCAATACAACTTTTTTCTCTTTTTAAAATAATGTGTTCTTTCTACTCTTTTCATTTGAGTACATTTTTAACACATATTAGGGAAACTTGCAGTATAATGAATGATAATTACATCTCACGAGGATCATAAATATTTTAAGACAAGTACAGTCAAGCCAAACTAAATGTCAGTTTATAAAGATCACTGCAGCAGCAACAACAAACACCCATCTGAGAGACGCCAGCTATTCATACAATACTGAGAGTCTAATTTTAAGTTAAACATAAATGTTATTAAAAATATATATGTTTTTGGCTAGTCATACAGTAAGTTAAACATAAAGGTTTTTAAAAATATATTTGTTATACAGTACAGAGAAAGTCGGGCATTACATTCAGTAGATTTTCATAGCTGCCTGTTCATTCAAGAAAGCTACAAAGTCACTGTTCTTCTTCAAATGCATCTGTCTCCACTGTCCATTTGTCTGTGACTGTGTAATGCTGTGTTGCGCTCTCTCTCCTTTCATTTAAAGGGTTATTAGTGTCCTCTCCCCTGTAACAGAAGGAGAAGATGGACTGAGTTACGAGTTTGTCCTACACTGCAACAGAACCACTCACCCTCAAGTTTTTCTACTTGTATTTTGATGTCTCACAGAGTGGGTCATGTTGTTACCCATCCAGTGATCTTTGTGCTTTCATATTCTACTGAAACCACGCTAGAGTTTCCAGGAAACAAACCGAGTTTGTTACTAAAAACTGTGTAAACTGTGTTGAAAGAGGAACATCTTACTCACCATTTTGCACAATCTTCCCGTCCTCCTGGTGGAAAGAAAGGGAGTCAGTATCGGGAAACATATATAAAACCTGAGCTAATACAGTCAAAGTTTTACACCTCACTTACCAAACATCCTTCTTTGTTTTTAAGCACCGGTTGTGGCATTGAAAGGCCCAGACCCTGAACAATCCAGCTCACCATACTGAAAACAAGAGGGACATGAAGTGGACATCTATGTCAGTTTTCCAGTAAGCAATTGCAAAAGAGAGAATCAAATTTGACGTGACTCACCTGGGAGGTTTTGAATCGATCTCCGTCACGCTGGTTATCGACTCTGGAGGAGGTGAATAAACTGAACCAAAGCAAATATGAAGCTAAACAGTTACAATCTTTTAAAATATAGCTAATTTATAGCTATAAATATAGCTAAAAATACCTTTGTTTGAGCACTGTGATGACCTTGGCGTGGAAGAACTGGAATTTGGGGGTCTGGTCACATGGTGCGGTATAGCGTTCTGGAAGCCGCTCTTTATCCAGTTCATTACACTGTTCACACATTGAAATAAGCAATTCATCTACATCTTGGATGGCCAGGGGGTTGGTACATTTTTATTTTTGGGTGAACTATTTCTTTAAGTCTCTAGATTCAGGTGGCTATATATGATTTTGAGTACGGATAATAGCAATAAAGATGCTTGCCTTAGCAAACACCTTCAATAGACTAAAGGCACCCAATTTGCACCTAACAATGCCAACTTTCCCCCCGTGTGCTTCACAGAATGACACTCACTTAGGAGGGAACTGATCGACTGGTTCCACCTCCGACATCTCGTCTTCTGACACCAGCTCTACTACTGGTATATGTGCCAAAGGCTCCTGATCTGGTGTAGGAGATACACAGTAAATGTAACCCACCCATACAGTTTATTAATTCAACTGTTTTTCTTAATAGACTGACTGATACACACCTGGAAGGTCCTTTGCCTCATAAACCTGAAGTAATCCGCAAAAGAAAATGAAAATGAAAAGAAAACAAATGAAACAGCAGAAAATTATTCATTGTGATTTGCAAGAATTCAAAATTTTTAAAATGTACCATATAAAGTCACTATTTATAATTCTAATGAATTAACTAATTTAATGATAATATAGTTTTAGACAAGTGAACAAACGATAGCGATATATTATTAAATAGTTTTTTTTAAATGAATTAATAATAAATGCATTTTACGACTTTGTTTACATTTCAAAATATATTCTTAAGAACATTTGTTACATTTATTAAATATAATAAATATGAATCGGCTAATCATTAATTTCGACCTTAAGTAAATAGCAAAAGCAAATGAAACCAGAAAGATATACATCAGATAGGTACTGTTTCCAAATTAATAATATTAAGATTAATATATTTTATTTAATTAATCGTTTTCTAAAATATAAATACATGTTTTTGCTTATACTCTTAAATAGTAAATTTTTTAAATAATAAATATTAGAACATTAATCTGTTGTTAAATGTATGTATTGTAAGCTTTTAATCATATATTAAGGTTTAGATCATTTTGATCATTTTTGGTTATTTCTACTACTCTGATAAAAATGAAGTCTTGCACATAGTTTTCTAACCACTGTGACTTCTTCAGATTCTGGAGTCTCGTCCCGTATGTATTTCTCATCAGGCTGCGGGACCACCTTTCCAATTCCTTGTGAGATCCAGCCAATAACTCCAGCCCTGGCAGACAGAGAGGGCTCACTGTACAGCCTCCATGCTGTCAAACACACTTTATGCACAGTGACTCCTCAGTGGACTGATGTTCTTGATAAGAATACTATTCATTGTCTTACCTGTCCATAGAACCTTCATCCTGAAGTGACTGCAAAATAAATAAAAAAATACATTTGCTTTGAATGCACATTAATATGCAATACCAAATGGTATTAAATATCAAACTACTTTAGTTGACATGAAATTAATACTTTAGCATCAGGGTTAGCTCTCATAAGAAGAGGACTCCCTGCAGGTTGGGGCAGAGCGCTTGCAAAACCGTTGGAGATCCAGTTCAACATACCACTCTGAACACTGAAACATACAGATTTCAGCATGTTTCATGTCCAGACAGTCATAGAATGTCTTTTGTGTACTTTACCGGGAAGATCGGTCAAGACTCACCTGTCCTTTGAGGTTTGAGATGATTGGTCTTCCTCCCTGCCTGTTTTGGTTGAATTGAACTTGTCTGCATGACAATAAGAGAGATAGAGGCTCATTGTGCATTAGTATATTATAATTTGATTTTATAGTACTGCAATATATTTGGACAGTGCTACACTTCATATTAGTTGGCCTTATATGTTCTGAACCATTTGATACTATATACATTATGTACTATACTTGTTTTGATTTAAAACACTTGCACTTTTTAACATTCCTATAACTATATCCATAACCCAACCTTTACCCCAAAACCTAATCATACCCCACACTCATTAGCAGTAAATGTGGGAATTTTGTAGAAAAATCATAGTCTTGTTACTATGTTAGTACATTGTAAGGCCACAAAATATAAAGTGTGACCATATATTTTACATTGAACCTAATAAACAATCATGTTGCAACACATTAAATCAGTAAGAGTGCTGTAAATGTACCTCGATTTGATGTTTTTCCATTCTTCAGAGGGCGATTTAAGAGAATTAGAAGTTCATTATATGAGAGGACATCAATGCAACAGCAAGACAATAATATATGAGCATCATTTTGTATATCTAGGAATTAATCAAGTAATATTCAGATTCATTTTTGAATGTATTATTTGCCTTTTTAACAGTTTTATAGATATAATATAGAAAGGGAAGACAGGAAATGATGGGGTGTGGAAAAGTGAATGGGTTTAGAAAATGTTGCAAGCAAGATTCAAACTTACATTATCCACATGAGCACCATGGCTCATTATGTCAGATCACGTACATTAACCACTAGGCCAGGGGTTTCAAACTACAAATAACTAGGCTACATAAATTTCCAATTCATGGTTGTAAAACACTAAAACACTTGTTGTAGGTCATGACCCCATTTAGTGTCAATCAGATTATTTGCACTGTTAAATAGTCACAGATATTTGTGAGGTGTGCATTATGAGTCCATGTTAATGGGCTTGTGGGTTTACCGCAGTGATCGCCTCCTCCCCCAGATCCTCCTGTGTATCAGGAGAATGTGGCACAACCTTCACCACCCAGTTAAACATCCTGAGGGAAGGAAAAATTCTGTTAAATCAATAAATACGCGCTGATGATGGAATAGACTATGGAAAAATGCCATAAACTCCTATTGTTTGAGTCAACAGGGAGACCGTCTTAACCTGAAATAAGTTACAGTTAATTATGTTTCATCCTTGTCAAGCTTAACTTAAAACCCAGGACCCTCCTTCAGAGCTAATTCGTGTGTCTTATGCTTTAGTCGCAATATTTAAAGGGAGTTGCTTCCAAGACAAGGATTTCATCCTTGGGAAAGCCCAATGAAGTTTCTATTCATCCAAACTATTAGGGCGCTTTTCCAGAGAAACCCCACAACAGTTTCAGAAATAGAATGATGTCACGTTTGCCACAACCTTTAGCAAACACAAGAGGTTTGATAAGCTTGATGGAGAACAATGAAAGTGTTTTTTTTTGTGGGTCTGCAGACTAGTTCTCACAGCAGTCTCGCTCTAAGATTATTTTGGACCCAATTGTCTTACATAAAATGTGATGTTATGAAAGACCCAGTATGGCAGGCCAAGTATATGGCAGCCATTCAAACGATTAGCTGTCGGTTGCACAGCAAGGGGTGTTCAGGAAGTCAAGCAAAAGTCATTTAATCACTTCTTTGATCTTTCACTCTGTCCATCTAAATGTTTTGCACAAAGCAAAATGCACCAAGCAAGTTTAGCTCTCAGGACCAAAATACTAATCACCTCTGTTAGCATCTAAAATGGTGAAAATACATAAATAAATGCAATTACAAGTAGTTTTGTGTGTAAACAAAGTCTATCAATAGACTCACTTGCACTTGCTTTCTTTTTGATTTCTGTTATAGGAAAATATTTATTTTTCAGCACTTAATTTATGTAGCTAAAAATTTTCCTTGCAGGTTGTTTTTACATCTTATTTAAATGTAAATTAATTTGTTCGTTTGCAAGACTTTACAATAACAACATGTGTGTTAGTTTATGTTAATGCAATAGTTAACATGAATTATTGGTTAATGCTCATTTATAAATATATTACTGTTTATTCTATTTCATATTAGTCCCTAATGTATTAGCGTATGTCAACTTTTACAACCTTAATGTATTTGTAAACACTACTGTTCAAAGGTTTGGGGACATTTATAAAAAAAAAAAAAAAGAAGAAATTAATACTTTAATTCAGCAAGCAATGCATTCAATTTATCAAAAGTGACAGTAAAGACCTTTACACTGTTACAAAAAATAAAACAATAATAAAAAAAGTGCTTTGTAAAATTTTGTTCATCAAAGAATCCTGAACAAATGTATCATGGTTTCCACAAAAAAACAAAAAACAAACAAAAAAAAAAGGTAAATTGTATCACGGCTGTTTTCAACATTGATCATAATAATAAACATTCAACAAATCAGCATATTAATGATTTCTGAAAGATCACATGACACTGAAGACTGGGGTAATGGTAATTTATCACAGGAATAAACTACATTTTTACACTATAACATTTATACATTTTAAAATTGTAGTAATATTTCACAATATTTTTACCATATTACTGATCAAATAAATACTGCTTTGGTGAAACTTGTTTCAAAAACATAAAAAAAATCTTACTGACCCTAAACTTTTGAATGGAACAGGAAACCGAAATGAACAAGCAGAATTAATAAATGGTGTTTAAATAGTTTTTAACTATTTAAAGTAAGTCCACTTGAAAAAAAATTCAGAAATGTAATTTTACTTATGGTAAAAAGGATTAATATACTGGCTAATCCTAAAACACTCATCAGATCTAAATCACTACTCCCTTTTAGAGCACCATCATCAAAATGACAGATTCCAGACAGGAAGGCAGTTATTATAATGAAGTTTTTTACCTGAATGTTTAGAAGTGGTTGGGCATTCCTTGGGGATTGAGACCATTCAGAGCGGATTTCAGCAATCTGTGCAGATTAGGATTGCGGCAGCACTGGGCTAACGGGATTAAATCTTGAAGGACAGTGCTACCCCTCACAAGACTACACTTAAAAACAATGGGAGCTGTTAACCAGGTTAAAGTTATAATGTGAAGAATTTGATCTACTTAATATGAATAAATAAAAATAATGTGCAATTCAGTTCCCTTTAAAATGACAACATATCTAATGCTATATTGTTTTGCACTATTACGAAATATGTACATTTCCTTAAGAAAAGTGTGAAAATTAGTGGTATTTGTCCATGCAAAACTTTTCAGCATGATGTCAAGATGTTCTGAGTGGTTGCTATAAGGTTGCTAAGGTGTTCTGAGTGGTTGCTATAAGGTTGCTAAGGTGTTCTGAGTGGTTGCCATGTGATTACAAGGGTGTTCTGGGTGGTTGCTGCCCCAGCTCAAAAACAGCAAAACATTAAACGCAGAGTTTGCATTAGCATACACAGATATAAGTATACAACATAAAGAAAACACGTTCTCACACCCAATTGATAAGATTTGGGTTTTGTGTAATTAACTAATCAGAGCTGACAGCGAGAGAACTTAGCATCCAGAAAGCTAATTCATGCTACATGCTAATTTTGTTAGCCTCTCTATGCCCTGCACTTGAAATCTGTATTTCATCAAATGCCACATAAGTAACATGTTTACTGTGATTCTTTGACGGGTGACCGCGTCTAACTTGCTTTCAGAAGCCAATGCCATGGCTATGCTAGGTCTGAGCAGCTAAACAGCAGCAGATCCAAGGGTTTTGTGTAATTAACTAATCAGAGTTGACAGCGAGAGAACTTAGCATCCAGAAAGCTAATTCATGCTACATGCTAATTTTGTTAGCCTCTCTATGCCCTGCACCTGAACTCTGTATTTCATCAAATGCCACATAAGTAACATGTTTACTGTGATTCTTTGACTTTTGAGGGTGACCGCGTCTAACTTGCTTTCAGAAGCCAATGCCATGGCTATGCTAGGTCTGAGCAGCTAAACAGCAGCAGATCCAATAATGAGATGAAGGCAGGATTAGCTCTGAACCAGCGAAAGAAAGGCCAATGCAGCTGATCAAGGGCGAGCGGTTGCCTTACAGACACAAACCACAGCTGTTTTCAGGCAAACCATAAACTGATCTCAGGTAAGCCCCTAAAGCATATCTCTGGCCCATGTCACCACCGTGCCCTAGAATCTGATTGGAGGAAATGTAGTAGAGAGTTAAATCTAATCCTCTAACAGGATACTCCTAGGAGAGAGTGGAGCGAATGGTCCCATGAGTTTGTTTTTGGAAATTTTGAAAATGAGAAATGTAGGCCATTGCATGTTTGCTTTTGTTGATATAACTAACTACAGGGTTTAATGTAAATTGTAAGCTTATTTTATCAACAGACAAACAAAAATGCACAATGTATGAGTTTATTGTGGTGATCATGTAATTCCCTTATTTAGGGTGACCATATTTTAGTTTTCCAAAGAGAGGACGGTTTTGTGTGTGTGTGTGTGTGTGTGTTTGTTTGCTTGTTTTGTTTTTATAATAAATAAAAAGAAAACAAGTAGATAGAATAGAAAAAGAAACGGGAATGTTAGTGTTAGAGGGTAATTTTTAAATAAAAATCGAATTAGTCAATAGAACAGAAAAAGAATAGAGAATGCTAGTGTTAAAGGCTCTTTTTTTCTTTTTAAATAAAACAAGTAGTTAGAATAAAAATAGAATAGAGAGTGCAAAAGTTAGAGGGTCAGATTTTTTAAATAAAAAAAACAAGCAGATAAAATTTTAATTAGCATTATAATAGAGAGTGCTTGAGTTCGAGGGTCAAATGAAAATGAAAGAGATGTGTTTTCAGCCGTTTCTTGAAAATGATTAAGGACTCAGCTGCTTGGATTGAGTTGGGCAGGTCATTACACCAGGAGGGAACAGTTGATGTAAAAGGCCATGAAGGTTTTCTCATAGGTAGAGTGCAAAATGTTTCAATACAAGCATTTCAGTCAAATGTAATTTATGCAATATTTCAAACTTTTAACCCACTTGGGAAAATCAACCCATGGCAACAGTTTAAAACTAGCCCAATTCTGTGGGAAAAACACGGACTTTGAAACCCTGCATCCAAGAAGAGCTGCAGGAATTAGATTTGACTGATCTCAGGTCGAGAATAAGGACAGATGACTGACAAGGCCATGCTGGAGTATTTGCTGCTCAACAGATCCTTAACTCATTGACAAATATCTGATCTTGCTAGATGTGGTCCCTTTACACAGAGTGCGTGTGATTGCGTAATCCTAAGTGAAGGTGAACAGCGCGAATGCTTATTCAAAAGAGGTTTAAATACTCTGCATTCTATATATTAGAATGTTTAAAGGAGTGGACACAAAAATCACGGGAGTGAAACACATGTTGCGGGAGCAGGTGGCAATGGTCAGAGATTCAGCGGGAGCGAGATTAAAAAAACAGCCGAATCCCGGACATTTTGGGCGATTAAGTAATCCCGGCCGGTGTTCTGACGATTTGTGCTACCGTCAGATTTTGCTACCTCCCATTAAAACAGGTAGCATAATTCGATAGTGAAAAGTGCTACCTATCAGATTTTGCTTCCAGCATGATATTAATAAGGTGTGAGGCTTTATTAAAAGGGTCATAGGATGCTACATGCACTTTTACAAGTTGTTTGAACTGAAATGTGTGTTGGCAGTGTGTAGTCGTCATTTACTCCTGACATCTGAGCCGCTGAACTGCAGTGGATTACATTTGTTTCTGAAAGGAATGCGCCCCCGATCTACATAAATGAGTCTATGTTCACCCGAATCATTCATGATCCAGCCTCATCTACAGAAGAAGTGAGTAAACTTGTGGAAAATGGGCATCCCGTTTTGACCCCCTATGACCCCTTTAACATGTACACCTACCCCAACCCTAAACCTACCCTTACAGTAGGATAAATACAGTGTTGGTAGCATAATTTGATAGGTAGCATTATTAGAACACCTGACGCATTATTTTTTAGAGGAGGACATGAAAAAAAAAAAAAGAGGACATGTCCGGGGAAAAGAGGACGTATGGTCACCCTACCTTATTTGCCAGGTGTGACGTAAAATAAAAAGAACAAAAATGGCTGTAGCTTCAACTGCTGTGCTGATCCAGTTAGCCTCTGCTGGTAGATGTGGTAACTACAAAGCATCTTTTTTGATTCACAGTGTCATGAGCAATTCAATCCTACCATTAAGCCCACCTACTACCAGAGGTGGGACCAAGTCATTCTTTTGCAAGTCACAAGTAAGTCTCGAGTCTTTGCATTCAAGTCTCGAGTCAAGTCCCGAGTCAAGACAGACAAGTCCAAGTCGAGTTGCAAGTCCTCAGCTTTAAGATTCAAGTCTTAAACAAGTCATTAGTGCTTTTTGCCCAAATTAGTGTCTCAGTATTAATTACCATATCAAATTCATAGTAATTTATATCAGGTAGGCAGGTAGAATATTTGACATAATTCAATTTCATGTGAGATGGATGCCCTTAGTAAAACTATTCAAGTTCAATTTAGGTATTGTGCCAAAATAGGATAAGCAGTAAACTATTTTATTAGTAACAGAATAGCAAAAGATCTGACAAAAACAGGTCTCAGAGAGGCGTTTATTACAAATAAAAATGAAAATGAAAGCACATCGAGTTGGAAGAGTGCGAGGGTCGTGGCGGGATGCAGATCCGTCACTCATGGTGCACCTCGGTGTCGGACGTTTTTGTTTATCTCTGTTCTTTTGTCGTAAGTTACGCTATTACTCCATTAATTTATACTAGCCTATCCAGCGCTCCCTGAAAGCAGTCTCTGGCTTATATCCAGTACTACCCTTGGGGATAGCTGTAATGCCCCATCAAACAAAAACATATAATATGTATTAAAAAATTATAATTAAACATTCAGGGTACAGGCTAAACTTGCAGGCTAACTGACTAGCGGTGTGTTAAGCTGGTTCCCTGAAAAAGTAGCTGAACATTATACACGCATATCAAACATTTCCAAAGGGTTTAAGCTAAGCTAGCAGACTAATTGGCTAGCAGAATGCTAAGCTAGTTCACTGAAGGGGTTACAAGGGTAGCTGTTTGTTTGCCTAAAACAAAATCATACAAATATTTAACGGCTACTAGTGGATCAATTGGTTAGTTCACTGATAGGGTGGTTGCAGTTGCTAAAAGTATAATATATACTGTATAAAAATATAAAATCATACATTTGCGAAGGGTATTTGCTAGTGGACAGCTTGCTTAGTGGCATGGTAAGCTAGTTCACTGAAGGGGCATTTGGGGTAGCCATTGTAATTCCTGACCAAAGGAAAACGTTATATATATATATAAAAATAAATTATATTGAACATTAGCAAATATAGGCTAAGCTAGTGGACTAATTGGTTAGTGGTGTGCTAAGCTAGTTCACTAAAGGGGTAGTTGGGGTAGCTGTTTGCAATGTCCGATCAAACAAAATGTATGATACAATTCAACAACTGCAGAGGTTATACCCTTAGAAAATAAACATGGTTACTACAATTTTACTATAATAAAAACATGTTTTTCTATTGAATAAATACCATTTGTATAACCACAATTTTACTACAAATATCATGGTTAAACTATGGTTTAGTTTAGCAAAAGTATGGTTAATGTGCGGTTACCATGGTTTTTTGGTTTTATTTGTAGTAAAACCATGGTTAATTTTAGTATGGGTAATTTTGTAAAGCAACTGCAAGTTGTTTTTCTTTCTTTCTTTCTTTTCTTTTTACCTTGAGGTATCAGTTCTGATGTTACACCGATTTCATAATATCTGTGAACAAAAGCAATACATGCCCTGCATGATTTACTCGATTGTTAATACAAAACAATGCAAATCAAAAATCAAATAAAACATCAAATTAAGGGAGAGTTTTTCATTTGGCACTACAAAAAAAAAGCACAAACACATTCATATTGACATGAAATACAAAAAAGACTCAGCTTTAAAATACTGAAGGCCACGTGAACAAAAAAAATTAATGTGCGGTTACCATGGTTTTTTGGTTTTATTTGTAGTAAAACCATGGTTAATTTTCATAAGAGCAAGTTAAATAAGCAGGCTAATTAGCTAGTGGAATGCTAAACTGGCATCCTGAGTTAGCTTTCAAAATCTAAGCTAAAACAATACAAAGAATGATAGTAGATCATTCTCAAAAAAAAAAAACTTATCTATTGTTTTGGTAATATACTATTACTACTATAATATAATATTTATAAGACATTTATGGTCAAAATAACAGATGACATGCATCATAAATTGAATTTGTAAGCTCTTTCTAAAATTTGTAAGTGTTTTGTTCAGCAAATGGAATCACTTTGGAGGTAGACTTGATTCAATGGGTAGACAGCTACATCTGGCACCTTCAGCACAATAGCAGGAAAATAACATTTACGCAACACTACCATAACGTAACTGATATGCTTAGATTAAAAAATGGAAGCTATAAGGTTACTGTTCTCAAACCAAAATGAAGGAAGTGCACAATCAGCAGAGGAAGTTAAAAATTAAAGAGATACTTACATCTTTATACTCCATTTTATTGTGAGCAAGCTATATACCAGATAATATCTGTGAACAAAAGCAATACATGCCCTGCATGATTTACTCGATTGTTAATACAAAACAATGCAAATCAAAAATCAAATAAAACATCAAATTAAGGGAGAGTTTTTCATTTGGCACTACAAAAAAAAAGCACAAACACATTCATATTGACATGAAATACAAAAAAGACTCAGCTTTAAAATACTGAAGGCCACGTGAACAAAGAAAAGCATTTTTTGCTCAAACTGCACAAAGTCTACTATGAAGTCAGTGAAAATAAGTACATTTCCAACACAGTGGTGATGGTCTGCACTATTAAGGCACAGATTCAGCCTTGAAAGGCACTGACGGACACAATCCGAGGCCAGGAATGACTCTCAAAAACTTCACAACTGGGGGAGACTGGAAGTACAGTGGGGAAAACGAAGGAAAGTCCCACAGGAAGACAAACTTTGAGGGGGGAGAAAGAAGTAGGGGTACGCTAATGTAGGTCACGATGACAGTACAGCCACGCCTCGAATGGCCTTTCCTCCCTCCTCCTCGTCTTTGGCACGCTCAGTGGAACTCAGGCAGAGGAAATGCTGGCAGGCTACAAGCCCCCATCCCCCTCTTTTTCTCCCCATAAAGTCCAAAATCAGCAACATCTGTGTAATGCAATTCAGGCAAGGCTCCACGGGGGAAGAGACTATAAACCCTGCTAAATGTGCGTGAGACAATTTATTAAGCCTGACTTTTCTTTTAACCCTGCGCTTTCTGCAAGGCCTTGCAACGGAGTTTGCGGTTTCCTCCATTATTGAGGCCAGTTAGCAGAGGATGTGAAAGAAATGTGCTGATCTGAGCTTGTTTTCATACATCCAACGTTTCCCACAGTCTATAACCGAACAGGCTCAAGAGGAAAAACTCACAGACGGATGAATCACTTGCAACACGTAAACGTAAAAAATGACCACAAAACAATCAAAAGTGCAAATTCTACATTGGGAAGGGGGTTTTCGATGGGATGAGCACCATAAACGGCAAGGTGTGCGTCTCTCAGAAAACGATATGTGCGGAAAGGTTTGGCTATTGGGTAGCGAAAGTGTGTTTTCAGACCCACTGCTGCAGGGATCTTTTGCAGTGAACTAACACTTTGGGCATCTCTTTCCTCTGGAGTGTGGTGATGATGATGTATATGACTCCCAGAATACACAGCACCAGAACCAGAGGCACAGTCACCAAAATGAGGGTCATGATGTGTTCATCAGTCTCGTTCCCTCTTAAAATTACATCTACTTCCTTTTTCTCGTCTTCTTCGTCATCAATTCCGTCTTCTGTATTTTCTTCGTTGTCAGGATCTTGATTCTTGTCGTTCGTCTCTGGTGATCGATGGTCGGGTTTTACATCCGTTTCTGCGTCAAAGTGCACCCGACAGCCCATGAAATCGTTTAAAATGGATCTCGGGTATCCAGCGTCAACCTTCATTCGCTTGTTATCGAACCTCCAGTATTTGGTGTCTTTGTAGAAGTAAGTGTACGCTGTGTGGAAAAGAGTTAGAATGTTAATTAGTGTATATAAATACACTAGTGACTAATAATTCCATGTAATCGTCGGCAAATGCTTGATCAAATGAGATTCTAGCCAGGCTCTGAATTCCAGAGCTATAAAAAGACGTGCCAAAGATGATCATGAACTACGGCGTGAAATTAGAAGTGAGAGCAGAACGTTTTCAAGTCAAAGGTTTTATTGCACCCCAGTTTTTTAGCACTGAGGTCACATTTTCCCTCTCAGCTTTGGATTAATGGACTTGTCTCTCTTTTTTTCATGCATTCAGCTGTGACATTTTCTCGGGCAGCGTCCCGCAGCCTGACTCACCTCCATCATCGCTGAGGAAGGCCCCTTTCGGGGAGCCAGGAATGGATCCCCACATGCTCACTGGTTTAGGGTAATCTTTATCCACGGCACGGGATTCTTCACTAAACTGCCAATATCTTCAGGAGAAAGCAGTAATGGAAAATAATACTTTAAATCTATGTCTATGCTAATAGATAAAGGATCAGTTCATTATTTTTTTAATGAATCAACAAAATAAAAAAGGCACAAGTCATAGATTTTACAGAACTTTGTCCAGATAATATTTCAGTCCATAATTAAAAGAGAAGCAAGAAATTATATTTTGCCTACAAAAAAAATCAAGCTTGTTTTAGGCATTTTAATTTGTGATTTAATCGTAATAAACTATTATGTTTTATTATTATATTTTATATATTATTATTATATTATTGATATGACCATCTTAAAGGTGCAATAGGTGATTTTCTTCAGAAACATTTATTGTTATGCTGGTTGAAAGTCTCTTTACACCCCCAGAGCAATCATTAAGTTAAGTGGTCTAAATATATTTATATATATTCTGTGGAAGACATAGGACCAAGAAATGTTAATCCAATCAAAACGCTCGTTGCGGGCGTTTTTATTGACTTTCCTACCTGCCTGTCAACAAATGTATTTGCATACCTCTGCGCACCCTGTTCGCGCAGACAGGATACGTCATCAGGGCGTTCCCGTACGATGTACAGACAGAGCGAGAACGGCAGGCAAACATCAACAACCTGATCTTCCTTCCTGGTATTGTAGTACTTGTACTAACGGTACTATAACGTTTTCTCACCGGTGAATGACACATGATGTATTGTAGTAATGTTGTCTCTGATCGTCTGATCTGCTCGCGTTCGTGCGTAAAAATTGGTAAATAAACTTAAAAAACATTTTTTTTTTTTTTTTTTTACAGTTTTATTTTTCTTCGACTTTTTTTGGTGAAATGTTAGTTTGAGTAATATGTGGACAACTTTTTCTTTTTTTTTTTTTTTTTTAAGTTAACTATCCTTTAATTTAAAGGAATAGTTCACCCAAAAATGAAAAATCTGTCATTTACTCACCCCTCCACTTGTTCCAAACCCTATGAGTTTCTTCTGTTGCACACAAAAGAAGATATTGGAAAAAATGTTGTTCAACCAGTTGACGGTAGCCATTGACTTCCATTGTATGGAAGAAAATACTATGGAAGTTAGTGGCTACTATCAACTATTTTGTTACCAACATCTTGTTACCAAAATGTCTTCAGAAGAAATAAACTCCTACAGGTTTTTTTAACAAGTGGAGGAGTAAATGACAGGATTTTAATTTTTGGGTGAACTATCCCTTTAAGTCCCAGATCAAACTGCCCGCTAAAGAAATATCATGTTGTTCTGTTAATGGCTAACTCTCAAACACTTGACACATCTGGCCTTTTCCACAAGGGCTCCAGCATGTTTACCTGTCTCCTCTGAAGAAGTACGTATAGCCAGATGGTTCCCACCACACTGCTGTGTCCACTCTGTCAGGCATGCCTTGACCATAACGAAACAAGTCCTGAGGGTATCCGGCCTCCACGTCTGCTTCTCTGAAAAGCCAGTATTTACTTCCTGCGGGAGTGATACAAAATACAAAGAGGGAATGGACAAAAAGCCACATTAGATGGAAAGACTTGAACGGGAGGGGTTGCATGGCTGAGAGATGATATCACAGAGACATCTATTCAATTACTGAGAGTGCACAGAAGATGTTTTGTGCTGCATGAAAGCAAAGTTCCCCTCAAACAAATGCACAAATGAAACCTGAAATCTCACAATCTGCATAAACAACAAAACAATAACTGTAGCTCTTTCTACTACACATGCCCTGCTGCAAATTTTCCAGGTTTCTTCTCTCAAAATGAAAACAGAGCAGTCAGCATCTGGAGCTGACGCAATGCAGGCGAAGTCCTGAGATGCTGCCAGACTTTCCTTCTTTCCTCTCTGAGAGTTTTACAAGTGACATCATTTGACTCCAAGATGCTGTTACAGCAAGAGGAACAGATGTTTAAAGGAGAAGTAGATTGATATCTGGGAAATATTAAATGATTCTGATGCTTTGTCGTTTTTAAAGATGTCTGTCATACTCTATCACTGTCATAAAAATAACTTTGGATCACAATATTTACAGCTTCACTGGCAAAAAAAGAGGGAAAAAAAAAACAAGACAAAAAATATATAAACAAAAAACAAAAAAAAAAAAAGGTCAAATTGATAAATCGTGATTATTCGCATCCAGAATAAAAGTTTTCATTTACATGATGTGTGTACTGTGTATATTTATATGTATATATAAATACACAAACATACATGTATATATTTAAGAAATATATTGTATATTATACATACACTGCAAACACACATATACTATGTAAACAAACTTTTATTTTGAATGTGACAGCACTAATATAAAATCAGCATTTTAGTTTTATTTCAATTATACATTTACTTTGAAGTAGGAAAAAGACTGCAGAAAATTGTTCACACCTGAGCCCTCCTGTTGGTTCAAGGTCCATGGCTCGTCTATGTCGAAATGTGTGTCTCCTCCCATTCCGGGACCAGGGAAAAAAGCGTGTGCCAGAGAGCCTCCTTCCCCGTCAAAGAGAGACATATCGCCATGATACCCAGAGGCAAACAGTAGTATTATGTCAGGCCCCTCACTGCCATTCTTTATCTCGTGATACGGGACCTCCTCGAACCGCAGAGGCGTTACTTTCTCCCAAACCTGGAAGGCTTTGTGAATAGCCTCGTAGGTCTGCTCCTGGCCCACTTTGGGTGAGTGGTTCTGAATACTTTGGCAGGAAATAAAGATTTTTTTTCCTCATCATTAGCTTGATGATCATTAACTTGAACAATGTAAACTGAATTTGTTCTTCTTGTTTTGAGGTTTAATTCACCTGTAAGTCAGCTTGTCCTGATCCCATTTGTGGCCAGTAAGTGCATACCGCTTACGCCGAGTACCTCTCTCTGTTGACTCCTCAAAATGATCTGGCACTCCACAGCGAGGTCTTTTCATGGCACTAAAAAAATAAAATAAATAAATAAATAAATAAATAAATATACACACACACACACACACATATATACACACACACATATACACACACACACACGTATGAATATTAGTGCTGTCAAATGATTAATCGCATCCAAAATAAAAGTTTTTGTTTACATAATATATGTATGTGTACTGTGTTTATTTATTATGTGTATATATAAATACACACACATACAGTATATATTTTGAAAATATTTACATGTATATACATTTATATAATTTCAGAAACAAAACAGAGTGAATCATTGAATCATACTGTTATCCGATATATTAATAAACACTGATCCATTCAGGAATGAAACAAGTGACTGTCTTAATAAGTGAATCACTTAATTGATTCATTAAAAAAACACAGATTTAACAAGGAACGAAATGTGATTGTATTTATGAATGAATCATTGAATCATTCATTTAATTGATTCATTTAAAAACGCTGATTCATTCAGGAATGAAACAAATGACTTTGTTAATGAGTGAATCACTCAGTTAATCGATTCAATAAAAAAACACTGATTCAACCAGGAATGAAACGTGATTGTAATGACAGAATTTTCATTTTTGGGTGAACTAACCCTTTAAGTGTTATTTCTATATTATTAATATATTTATTAATATTGTGAATTATTTTTCATATTTTAATTTTCCATTTTAATTTTAGTAATTTTCTTAATTACAGTAATATATTTGTTTATTTATTTTTTGTGTATATATGTATGTGTTTAGAGATTGCTTACTCTCTGAGAGCTGCCATTCTAAATTTTATTGTACTTTGGGCAATGATAATCTTTTATGTTCTTTTGCCATTTTTAATTCGCTTTTTTTAAATATTTTTTTTATATTTAGCTTTAATATATATCTTTTTCAGCTTTAACTTAAACTTTATTCCACTTAGTATTTCACTAGTTGCTAATGCCACATTTCTATTTTTGTATTTTTAATCTAAAATTTAGATTTTATTTTATTACAGCTTTATTTCCATTAATGAAAAATAATTTTAATAGTTTGTCTTAGTTAACGATTTTTTTTTAATATTTTTTTTATATTTAGCTTTAATATATATCTTTTTCAGCTTTAACTTAAACTTTAGTCCACTTAGTATTTCACTAGTTGCTAATGCCACATTTCTATTTTTGTATTTTTAATCTAAAATTTAGATTTGATTTTATTACAGCTTTATTTCCATTAATGAAAAATAATTTTAATAGTTTGTCTTAGTTAACGATAACAACACTGGTATACATTTTTTACAATATTAATAATCATAATAATAACAACAACAACAACAATAATTCTAAATACATTTTAAAATAGATATAAAACTATTTTATTAATAATAAAATTATTCTTATCATTAAAAAAATACTAATTTTATTAAGTAATAAGTGGTATAGATAAGCTACTTGACCTAGTTACACTGTACACTGTATCACAGTTTCTATTTTCTCAGTTAACACACAATCAAAACAGACTGCGATCATCTTGTTTTTCTACAGGCAGTTGAATAAGGAAATCATACTTAAGAGTGGCCAAGTCCATGTGTCCGGTCACCTCCAGGCCATAGAAGCGCTGCATGTCCTTAACGGCATTAGAAAGGATCTGGGCTGATTGCATGGTGGACATCTGTCTGCTAGCCTGGGACAGGTAGCCATACGTCCTCAGCCATGACTTTAAGGAACACACAGAAAATGTTGGAGAGTTGACAAGGTGTTGCAACAACTAGTACTAAGAAGTGTGGTGACGATGGGATTACACAACAGAAAGAAAAAATGAACATACAGGAAGACATTAATACACAAGCTGCTTTTTAATTACGCAACTATCCATTAGAATCCATCAGGAAATATTATGGAGGTCTGGATTAAGATAAGTCAAGTCTTAAACTACATGAACTCAAAAAAATAATTTGTGCACCAGAGACAAGTTTTAAATGTTTGGTAAAGAATTGAATATTAATATGAATATGAATATTTGAAGGTGTTTTCAGTTAAGACCACTGCCACATGGTCAGGCTATGAGGACAGATGTAAACATCCATAGGCACATCCTTACACACCATCTGATGTTCACCAGAGGTTGCAGAAACATCGTATTATAATTCTCGACGTTGAAATTACCAAACGGTTACTAAACAGATAGGACTGGATTCAATACCAGGTAACCCAATGAAACCCTATGGTCCTGTAAGGAGTAAAAATAAACTTTAAAACGTGCTTTTTATTTAAAAAAAAATGTCAAACAGTAAAATGGCTTACAAACAGCATTGTAAAGAGAAACACTGACTTTTTTTTTTGTTGACTGCTTATTTGTATTTATCAGTTATGTGTCCAGCCCAATGAAACCCTATGGTCCTGTAAGGAGTAAAAAGAAACTTTAAAACGTGCTTTTTATTTAAAAAAAAAAAAGTCAAACGGTAAAATGGCTTACAAACAGCATTGTAAAGAGAAACACTGACTTTTTTTTTTGTTGACTGCTTATTTGTATTTATCAGTTATGTGTCCAGTAACCCAATAAGTTATGCTTTCTAATACAATAATAGGGTGATCATTAGATTATTACACACACAAAAATACACTTTAATCATAAAAACTATTGGTGTTGTTACAGCATTATATTTAATTAAAGCTCTTATGACCTATATAAACGTAAATCTATTTTTTTTTCATTTTTTGTTTTGGGATATGTCTAACTGTTACACATTTATCACATGACAATGATAGTTATTTAAAAAGGTGAGCAATTATCCAAACAATACAAGTTAAAGTGTGAATGGTGTCATCAGTAAACCTGATATTATTAAAACTAGGAGTTGAAAAGTGTCAAAAAAAATCGATCAAACCGATTCCTAATCGTCAAGTTTACTTAAATTTGATTAATTGTCCTCTAAACTAACTTAAACCTAAAACTCATACTTTAACAATCCTGGAAGACCAAAGCAAAATGTAGCCAAACAGAATTTCACAACTCTATGTACAGATTAACTCCACACATTTGTTTCGTGTCGTCAGTATTTCAGCACAAAACTTTAAAGTCTACAAACCTCTGCGTTGAAAGCATCATGTCCTGCAGTTGTTTCAGCAATGTTGACAAACAGCAGGATGAAAATCATAGTAACGGGTCTCAGCGACCGATGCGATCTGCTCCTGCGGACTGACATCTCTCCACTCCGGGACAGCAATGAGAAATGAACACACTACCTTCTCCTCAAGAACCGCGTGATTAGATAGCAACCCGGGAGAATCTGCAGTCTTTTATCACCAAAATAAGGTCATTGTTCTTCTCGGACCACAAACCCACCAGCTTAGTGAACGTTTTTTGCTTGTATTGCTATCCGTGCAAACAGTTCGCATAGGTCTCCATTGGTGCGCGCACGCTTGTAAACTATAACATTAGCATGACCAGCAGCTATCAACCCATTAAATATTGAACAAAAAGACTACTGTACTTGTAGATATCTGCATTGCATTGTTTGTGTTGATATAAGCACCGCCTGGATAACCCCATCTGGAAATGTCGAGAACCAGGCGGCGCGTCCTCGAAACTATTCTCAATCTGATGCAGGACACCAAATATGAGCAAGCATGAAAGCTCATGATGAGGATCTCATGCCGATCTGCAGCACGCAGCCGCACCCCATTCCCCGCCCACTTTCTCTGTTTACCGTTGTGATATTATGCACACCATTCTTGGTTTTATAATAAACATTCCACATGTATTCTTGAAAAACGCAGATAAAGGGAGATGTACTGAAATGGTTTTATTTAAAGAACAAAAACGGTTATGCAAATGTAACTTCCACTTAGTTCTCACTGCCACCTGTTGTTCATATTCAGTACTGTAAATATAAAGTAGGATTCATATAGTAAGCAAGAAAACAAAAGCAAAAAAACAATAGCAGCCCTGATTGATCAATGCATCTCTGTAAATCACATTCAAGCCAATTTTACTTAAACTAAATTTTCTTGACAGGACATTAATGTTCACTGAGGGTCCATTATCATGGAGTGTTCACTCAGTCAGAGCTAACATGCTAATAGTTAGCTTGTGTACTTGAGGTAGTTTTTATACCCAACAAATACTATTATGTGTTGGGTGAAAATGTGATTTATTTAGCTATTCGTCGTGTCGTCGATTTCCCGCTTTGGCGATACTGATAAGGATTAAAAGAAAGATGCCCAGAGTCCAAATCACTGTCAGTGGAAGGACCAATGTGATGAGATCTAAAATGAGACAAAATCCATATGGGTCAAACATGATAAAAAGTATGGTATCTATGTATTAAAATGTCATAGGACACTACATAAACATACTTGTTGTAGGTCTGACTGGTAGCTCTCGTCTGATTGGTCCATAAGACAGCAGGCCTCGAGCCTGCTCATCCATAACCACCTCTCTTTTGGATACAGTTTTACATTCCTAAAACAAATCAGGTCAGGTTAACAATGGGAAAACGTGATTGTCCGAAACCAGCTGGTTAAAAAAAAAAAATGCTTACAGGAATACAAGATTTTCCATCCTCAGGTGTGCAGAGATGAACAGTGCAGTGCAGGTAGAAACTGTGGGGCTCGTATACAAACCGAAACATATCAAACGAATAACGCACAGTCGACCCCTCACCGTTTCTTCCTGCAGGGTGTGCCGTACCATTACCAAATGAAGTTGTTTTGTCATTTGTGCACCTTGAGGACAATCAGAAAAACATCAAGACATTTCTGAAAGGTGAAATATTTAGTTATTGCAACCGAATCTCATGAGAAAATGTAATTATTTTACGAGCCACCGATTTCATATTTACAGTGTGATTTGTGTGGAAACACCCTAACCATCAGTGGAACTTAGTTTAGAAGTGACTTGAGTAAAGGGGTGTTCACACTTTGTTGTTCGACAATTTTGCAGGCAAAAACCAGTCATTTAAATGGGTATCCACGTGATCGGGAGTTTCGCTTGAGGGTAAAGAAATTCCTCACACAAATTTTACTCGTGTTCAAGTTGGTTACACAAATTCGCTGTTGAACAACAGACAGCTGCTTGGTTTGAAAGTGTGCCGCATTGCTTTACATCTGCAAAATTTCACCAAAATGTTGCTAATGTGACTTCACCTTAAGTGGTACTTGATGCATTGCTACACTATTGCTAATGGGCAATGGACCTTGCCTGCTAAATTTCACAAAGTTTCTGTACCTTCAGTCACCAGTTCACCAAAAACAAAATACCTATGAATTGCCATGTGTGTGTATTGGTAACTGATCTTAAAAAGAGACATTTGGATTTAAAATTTACAAGCATGAAATTCACAATACTAACCCATTTACAAGCAGTGTGTGGCTAAAGCTTGACTTATCATTAGCTTGAGGAGTCTGAGTCGCCCAACACTCATTTACTTTCAGATGGAAGAAATCTTCAGGCTCCGTCACTTGGATCTGGACATAGATTTGATCTCCAAGCTTAATAGTAGGTGCGCTGGTGAAAGCCTCATTGTATGTGTGATCTTTAAACAGGCTCATCTCCACCTTGGCATCCACTTCATCCACCTTGAACATTCTTTCACTTCAAAAACAAATCAAATCGGTTAAACACACATGCTTGTGTATAATTTGAAGGAAAAAAAATTAAATAAATGAAAATGTGATTAAAATGTACTCACCCTTAGGCAAACCATAATGTAGATATGTTTGTTTCTTAATCGTTTTAGCAATTTAGAAATCCATCACTTAATGTCTTGTGAAGAAACAAAATCACCATTAAAATGATTGCACAATGTTAATAGATGGACTGGAGTTGTGTGGATTTCTTGTGGATTGTGATGTTTTTAATCAGCTGTTTGGACTCCGAGTCGCTGTTTCTCACTATTCTGATGACACCCATTCACTGCAGAGAATCCATTAGTGAACAAGTGATGTAATGATTCTGTTCCAATGAAAAAACAAACCCATCTACATCTTGGATGGCTTGAGGGGGGAGTACATTTTCAGCAAATTTTCATTTTTGGGTGGACTATTCCTTCAAAATCAATGGGTTACCTGGAGAAAGAGATTATGGGAAACGCCAGGCTGAGTCTACGGATGTACGGATAGATGCACTTGTACTCAATCTGTACAACTGGATCTCTCACAATGTTTCCATAGATAGGTGGGTCAGACATCAGTGTTAAGGAACACACAATGTGCGTTATGTTCTTCTGTTTAGAGTGGATGCCATTTAGAGACATGTAATGTGAACATGCTGATGCTTGCATAGTTTGAGTGGGGAAGAATTTATTAAAATTATTTTACCTCCAGAGGTTTGCCTCCACATGCAGTGTACTGGTCCATTGGTGTGTGCACTGTGAAATAGGCTGATCCAGAGATCTCCTCTCTATGGGCACGACAGCTGGCATTAGTCAAATGAACAGCTTCTATTCCCACATTGTAGTACTTGAAGAACTCTTCATCCACTAGGATGGAAATGAAGTCTTTGCCACACGTCACATTCATTGTTGCGACTTGAAAAGAAATATTAGATTAATACAAAATTTGTTAAATTACAATAACATAACATGGAAAAAAAACAGCAAGTTTGTCAGTCTTAGGTGGTACTTAGTTAGCCAAGCAACCAGAGCCAGATTCACAAGACATTCTTATGAAGGGGAACATTTTTTTTTTTTTTTTTTTTTTAATTGTTATTAAAACAAAGCTTAATTCTAATTATTGAAAACAATCTTAAAAATCATTGTAAACAACTTGAAGTTAGGATAACCTAACCCCAAAGGTAGCCTATAGTCTGTCATTTTATTCTTTTTTTTTATTTATTAAGATAGTAGGAATAAAATTACAGAATACTTCAAAACTTAGACAACAATAACAACAAAAAAATGTAGAAAACATTTATAAAGAATTCTTCTCAAGACTTTTGTGAACATGGCCCCAGCTTGACAACCAGCTAAACGCCAGTCTAGGAGATCAGTGTAAACTAGCGAAGACCAGCAATTCAACTGGTTACAGTTTTGCCCACAAGGTTGACTCCTTTACCCTGGTCACAGAGATCTCCAAAGTAGCCAACTGCACATTTACAAGTTCGCCTCTGCGACAAAACGCAGGTAGATGGGTCAGAACACCGTGAGATCTCACATTCACCTGAATGAAAAAAATGGTTTAATAACAAGACTCGATTGAGATGAAATATTTCCATCACATGTGACCTTACCAGAAATACTCCCAACAGCACAGAGTAACGTTGCAAGATGCAGAAACACCTGTGAGAGAAATTACAGTGAGTGAAAAATTACGCAGTTAAAATCTGATACTGAAATACTTAAAAAATAAAATAAATAAAGAAATAAAACCTTTGATTTCTGATAGTGCGTCATTTTTTATCGGCTAATCTCTTTTATTTAGATTTTTTTTGGGGGGGGGCGGTTAGAAAATAGCAGTTTTAAGGTAGCCTAATATCTAGTCTACATGTCAAATGGAACCCATTCAAATAAGGATTAAATACATCAGAGGAAACGCTAAATTAATTTGATGAGTGCCACCTGTAACAAATGCCTCTGGTCGTCTGATTGACACATTACATGACCAATCACTTCTTTTACAAGACGTTTATGTGGCGGTACCGACGAAAAATAAATAAATAGGCACACATATTCAAAATACATTATCAAACATTTCATGCATGTACATAGCCTGTTATACATTGTTAAGGTTACGTTATACACAGGCTACATTATAATGATATGTTAAAATAAATATGCATAACACTTGAACTATGATTAAAGCCATTAAAACCAGTCCTATTCTCAAATGATAGCATTTAACCGCATATTAATATTTTTCTTGAACGTTTCCAAAGAACATGTGACTCGTATGACGTAATCAAACCAAATCCGTTGATCGGCGCTCGATTGATACAGTTACCAGTCGCTGCATGGTGTTTGTAGGAAGTCATGTGAGCCGGGGCATATGGTAGCTTTGGTCAATTGTTGATATTGAAAAACATTGCGATCTACCTCTGTCATCACCCGCGAGAAAATATTCATCAGGTTTACGTTCTGTACAGAAATAATCGCGGGTTTCGGATCGTCGTCTCTGAATTAAGTTCATAGAGGGGCTAGGGCTTTTATTCTGTTTTGGCAGTAAGTTAGCTGCTCTCATCCTCTGCTCCCCGCTTTCACTTGAGTGTCGCAGACAGCAGGTCCTATTATCTTATAAGTGATGCTTGTGATGAGAGTCCGCCGCGGAAACACATTTTAGGGCGTCGTCTTGTCTGTAAACAATACAAGTGACGAGCAAAATCTTTTGGATGAAACATTAATACATTTATTCAGTCATACACTAACTGAACTGTCATCTAATGAGACTTTCTCTTTATTCACTAAGCTTTATTCGGAGACCAGTTTTAACAATTCGTAGTTGTGGTTTATGCGTAATTTAAGGGGGTTTTCGGAAATACTTTGAAAAAATGAACACAGAAAAGGATTTTTCTCCATTGACACCAAACATTGTGAGAGCTCTCAACGACAAACTGTACGAGAAGAGGAAGGTGGCAGCTCTTGAGATTGAAAAGTGAGTCATAATCTGTTGTTTATATTCATACATGAGAGGAAATGTTTTCAGATTAGAATATGTGGTATTCATGTGCCTACAACTGCTTTTAGATTTGTTTAGTCCCATTTTGCTCCACTGACACGCATACTACAGCGTGTGAATTATAGTTTAACATGCATAGTTAGTTTCTCTCTGTAATAAGTAATTAATCGTTGTTGTTTTGCTCAAATGGAGAGCTGGTCATCTGACATGCCACATGATCTCATTAGTCATGCTTATGATCAATAGCCCATAGTCCAAACAGCACTGAAGTCCAGCTAGTGTTTGAAACGAATTATTAGAATGCTGTGTTTTATTTATAGGCTATTCCATTTATCCGCTTTTTCCCAATCTTCTGTCAGGCTTGTACGGGAATTCGTCGCCCAGAACAGCTCTGCACAGATCAGACATGTCATCCAGATACTGGCCACAGAGTTTGCGCTCTCCCAGCACCCTCACAGCCGAAAGGGAGGCCTCATTGGGTTAGCGGCGTGCTCCATTGCCCTGGGGAAAGTATGTGAAATAAATGTGCTAAATACTAACTCAATACACCACTGAATACTTGATTCATTGGTATATTGGCTGCAAGATGTTCAGTATGCTTGAAATTCCAAAGCAAATATGGAGGCTTTGCTTATGTTTATCTTATCTTTTGTACTATTCAGGATTCTGGATTGTACCTGAAAGAACTCATTGATCCGGTTCTTACATGTTTCAATGATTCTGACAGCCGTCTGCGCTACTACGCCTGTGAGGCCCTTTACAATATAGTGAAAGTTGCCAGGGGAGCAGTGCTGCCCCACTTTAATGTGCTGTTTGATGGGCTTAGCAAGGTAAACTGATGCCCCTTCATGTCTAGATGCATGCATGAACGGTAGAAATTAATCCCACATGGTATTCCATGCTAGTTTGAAATATTTAGTTGAAATATTTTTTTAGTAATCAATGCCATTTAAAAATTTTAATATAGTAAAATATTTCTTAAGGCTAAAAAGCAGTGTTGTTGTTGTCAACTTTTGGGTTATTACAGTTTAACTTTTTTGTTATTTGAAATAAAATGTACATTAACTGATTTTTTTTTTCAGATTGTTGCCAAGGCAACATTTCTTATTTTCATTTAAGTTGATTTAATGTTCTAAAATAATGAAAATTAAAACTGTAAAAAAAAACTTTAAAAACTGTATAACCATAATAAAACACAAATGACAAAACAGAAATGACTAAAACTATATTAGCATCTCAGTGGTCTTAAAGTAACACTGACTAAAACTATTACAAATAGTTTAGTTTACAGTAATTTAAATAAAATAAAATATAAATATTAGGTTTAAACGTAATTTAAGAAAAAATTGTAAGAATTGTCAACTTACCAAAATAATTTTGTTACTAAAACTAATAAATAATTAATTCAAATAAATTAAAGCTATATAGGAATTTAAAAAATGAAGTTTTTGAAAAAGAAACTGAAACTAATAAAAATTACAGAAGTTCAAAACAAAAGTACAAAACAAAATGACTGAAAATATTAATAAATACTAAAATAGTATATAATACAAAAAAATGACATTGGTAAGATGTTATCTTTTCCAAAATATATATATTTTTTAACATATTTCATATGTAAGAGGTGATAACATTTTACCTTTTAACCGTTACTGACATTTTGAACATAATTTTCATTGGAATTGTCATTACACAGTCATTCCTAACTTTTGTATTGTAATTTCCTCTTCCTGTGCCTAAGACTCACCTTACATGTGATCTGTTCTTTACAGCTCGCTGCAGATCCTGATCCAAACGTAAAGAGTGGATCTGAGCTCCTGGATCGGCTTCTTAAGGTGAGTTTGAAATGAGAAACGTGGATTCCGCAGTTAAAGTTTGGAGGTATCAAATGAAATAATGACTTCTTATGTCCTTTTTATTTTAAGGACATTGTAACAGAGAGCAACAAATTTGACCTAGTGGCTTTTGTCCCGCTGTTGCGTGAGAGGATTTACTCAAACAACCAGTATGCCCGCCAATTCATTATCTCATGGGTGAGTTGAGCACTTTCAACAATCTTTGTTTTATTTTTGCTTTAAATATTTCTATGTAGCTTTATTTTTATTTCAGTTTTATTTGTAGTAATTTTAGTACTTCAAATTCAACTTATTTTTAGTGCTGTCAAACGATTAATCGCGATTAATCGCATCCAAAATAAAAGTTTTTGTTTACATAATATATGTGTGTGTACTGTGTATATTTATTATGTATATATACATACACTCACATAAAGCATATATTATGGAAATATTTAAATGCATACATTTATATATTTATATTAATATATTTTATATTATATATAAATATATTTAATATATAAACAACATATTTTTCTTAAATATATGCATGCATGTGTTTGTATTTATATATACATAATAAATATACACAGCACACACACATATATTATGTAAACAAAAACTTTTATTTTGGATGCGATTAATCGTTTGACAGCACTACTTATTTTATTTCAGTTTCCAAGGCAAATTTTCTCATTTTTGTTTAAGTTTTTCACGTTTAGCTTTTTGCCTAATATTTATATTTTATTTTATTTCGGCTCTATTTCAGTCTCCGAAAATGACAAATAGTTTTGTTTTTCATTAACAATAACAATGATAATAGTTGCCATTATCATTTTGTGATTTCCTGTGATGGTTTGACTCCAGATCCACGTGTTGGAGTCGGTTCCTGATATCAACCTCTTGGATTATCTGCCAGAATTTCTAGACGGACTCTTTCAGATTCTTGGGGACAGCAGCAAAGAGATCAGGCGGATGTATGTCTCATTATCTTTTCCTTTACCTGAGATAGTTTCTCCCTCTTCCTCTTTTCTCTGTTATGTTTTTCTCATTTTTAAAGAGCATTAACAGCTGCTGTTTAATAGGTGTGAGGTGGTTTTGGGGGAATTCCTGAAAGAAATTAAGAAGAATCCATCCAGTGTCAAATTTGCGGAAATGGCCAACATATTAGTCATCCACTGTCAAGTGTCTGATGAATCAAAGTCGAGTGAGTCAGATTTAAAACTTTGTAGAATTCTTTTTATAGGTAAGTAGTGTAATTCTTTAATTTTGTCTTTCTGCAGCTAACGATCTCATCCAGTTGACATCGATGACATGGATGAGGGAATTCATTCAGCTTGCTGGAAGAGTGGTACTGCCATATTCCTCTGGCATACTGACAGCAGTGCTGCCTTGCCTTTCCTATGATGACCGCAAAAAGAGTATCCTAAACTGTGGTTGCATATCTAATATAAAATGCATTTGCTTAGAGTATGTTTTGTGTTCAGTTGCCATTTAGCTATGTTTTTGAGGTTTTGATATTGTCCTGTTAGTATTAGTTGCTACTGCTCCTCAATAAACCATCTCTAGATACTAAAGAGGCTGCCAGTGCATGTAATCATAGCCTGATGAAGCTTGTGACTCCTGAAGATGATGAAGATGATGAAGAATCACAGACCAAATCGTCCCCTCCGGGTGATGGGACTCCATCTAAGAAAGAGGGTGATCTGAATGGCAAGTTTTTTTTATTATAATTTTTCTTCCAATTTTATTTTCTTCCAATTTTATTTATTTATTTAAATGTGTGGAAGTAAAATAAAGTGAAAAGGTATGAGAAAAGGGATTGCATTGGCCGGGAATCGAACCCGGGCCTCCCGCATGGCAAAGTGCCAAAATCGTTTGAGGGAGTGAACTGTGCTGCCTAGTGAACAAATGTGGTAATTGCTGAGGAAATTTCCAAGACAGTAAGAGAGATTGGAGTGTGCCACCTAGTGAGCAAATGTGGTAATTACTGAGGAAAGCTCCAAGACAGTTAGAGAGATTGGAGTGTGCCACCTAGTGGGCATGTATGGCAACTGCGTTTGAAAGTGCCCTCACTTTGGAAGCCAGGGGGCGACATTAATATTTCAGGAAGGCACTGGTGGTTCAGTGGTAGAATTCTCGCCTGCCAGATGGGGGGCCAGCTGCAGATAGTTGTAACTCACTGACAGCCAATAAAATTGAAGCATTTCAACAGCTTGCCAAAGGGTGGAAATTATGTCACAGCCAATCAGATTTTTTTCATGCATTTATTTGGACCAGGGTTCGAATCCCACTCACGCAGGTCTAAACCATTATTTCACACAGCTTTATGCTTTTTATAAAACAAAATTCTAAAATTTAACAATACATTACAGCTGCAAAGTATTTTAAATTTATGTCTTGCCTTTTTGGATTACAAAGCAAAGTATTATGAATAAATGATTAGTATTAAAATAAATACAGTAAAATAATAGTAATATAACATTACATGGTTATATGAAAACATGAATAGTTATATTAAATGGCTTTTGTAATGTAAATAAGAGGCATTTAAATTGAACTCAAACGGAGTAATATTCAAGTATTCAATGAAAATTTATTTAAGTGATGGAATAATTTAAGTCACTTACTAAGTTAAATGACCAATTAAGTGTTTCCAGAACCATAGAAACTAAAATATTACTCCTATGAAGTAGAACACAGCACTCATGAAGCAATTTGTAATTTTCAGTTGTATTTTTATTAAATGCTTTAAGCTCTTTTTAAGATTAGTAAATATTGATCCAAAATAATAAAGTAGAAAAAAAAATAGAATTCTGACAATATATACATATTACAATTTCACACTGAAAAATAAACAAATCCAAATATACAGTATATACACGAGTTAAATATTTCTAACGGGCAAAAGATCAAGAAATATCATTTATTTCTTTTTTTCTGCCCATTTTTTCTCGTAAAATGCAGACTCTTTAAACTCTTTCCAGGTCATCTCTTTCTGCATGCCCTGAGGTTGGTAAATGGAAAAGACTTTAGCAGGGCAATGACCATATTTCCCTGCTACATCAGGAAAGCCTGTGTGTATGTGAGGACTGTTTGGACCCTGCTTCAGGTCTATTTTACAAAATCTGCACAAGCAACCAACGTGTTCAGTTTCAGGTTTTTTGCGTTTTTGCTGTCCTCTCTCCTCCACCAGTTTCTTTGTGTCCTCAAGTTCACTCTTAAAGAACTCCATTTCCATAAAGTCTTGGAATGTCATTCTGGGGTTTGTTAGTCCTTAATCACTGTAAGCATTAAAAACCTTTGAGGAACAGTAGAAGTACCTGACAGGGCCTTGCTGATTAAAACAAAAGTAAATAGAGGAACCATCTTTGGCTGTTCACAAGCAAGACAAGTCTTTGTTTGTTTCTTCTTCTCCTGCTCAGGTTGCTGCTGCCGCTCCATAATACAATTCTCTCAATGGTGTCATGAGTTAGGAGTGTGGTCAGAGCAGGTGCTGGTGGGTTTACATCCACAGGCTTCATTGTTACCACTGGCGCTCTGGTTGTTTTACTACCTGCTTTAAAGACGTTTCTCTGGAGTTGTTTAATGATGAACTGGTGTTCAGCAGTTTGGCCAGGTGCTTGTCATACTGTGAAATGTGTAGTTTTGTGGTGGAATGGAGCATGCTGTTTTGATCAGTAGAGGAATTGTGGATCATTGCTGCATAGTCCTGAGGATGTCCTTCTTCCCATGGTGTTTATTAAGCAAGTTGTCAATGGGCTCCGCATTTGTGGTCCAGTACAAACACCCTGCCACCAGTCTTTACAGGTCCAGTACGGGTCGCAGGCGAGGCCAGCATAGGCAGAGGTGGCATATATGTAGTTCCTATACAGAGGGAAAAAATGTATTCTGAAAATTCTGATCGAGGCTCCACATGGGAACCATGAGATGAGGACAGCGAGGGCACAGGCAGTGTACCAGTGGTGTCTGCAACAAGTTGAATATTTAGTTTAATGTGTAAGGAAACAGAGTTTCTGCAGATTTTATGAAGGTAAAGTTAAGACCTTTTTAAGACCAAGTAAATCAAATTTGAGGAACAAATGAGGAAAACCACAAATATGTTCTGTAAATGTCTGGAGAGAAACACAATGAGTTTGAAAATATAACTTCCAACAGATATTCATAATTTAATTCATTTTATACAAATGCACTGAAACAGTCCGCTCCCAGACACTAGAATATGTAAATACAATATATTTTTCTGTACATTCAGATCATGCTGCAAAACAGTGATGTTCTTCCACTGTATTTTTGTCTTGTTTTCCAGTGCAAATGCCTAAAGATTCTTAAATAAAGATACATTTACTGGAGATACAAAATGACATGAAATATGAAGTCTTGTTTGAAGTGATTTTGTGATTAAAACAAGAACTAATATCTGCCATTTGGCAAAAAAAGTCAACTTAATTTAAAGGGAAGTTTTGACACCTCATTGACAAATATTTGTTATTGTTTTAAGTGTAAACTCAATTTTATTACATTTTTCAAGACTTCATTTTACATTTGCATGTGAAATAAACATATCTTGATTGAAAGATGTTTAATATTTGTATTGAAAAACAAGACGAAACACAGAGGAAGAGATTCCTTCACTTTTTGCTATGCATCCAGCATTTAATGCCATCATTTTATGAATTTAAGACTCTGCTCTGATTTAAAACTTTCTTAAGGCATTAATTTGTGTAAGGATAAATGAAGACATTTTAAGACTTTAAAACCTGTAGAAACCTTTTGTGTATGATGTTGTTAATGTATCAAATATTTACCTGTATCTGTCTGAGGATCTGCTTGGATACCAGGAAAAGATGATAGCAAGGGCACAGGACGTGTACAAACAGTGGCCTCTACAAGAACAACAAAATAGCAATATTACAAAAAGCAATAATTCTATTACAGACACAAATAAACACACACACACACATATATATATATATATATATATATATAAACCATAATGTTACTATAGTAAAACTGTAGTAATCCTACTGTTCTTGGCTGATTGATATTCATTTACAATTTCATGGCTGTACTGTAAATATAATGCCCAATACAATAACAACAATAGTACATTTATTGTTGTGATTCAACTAAAATACCATGGCTAAATTATGGTTACTATAGTAAAACCATGGTCAGGAAACATTTTTGAACTGTGGAATACATGTAACCTCAATACAAAAATGAAAATAATGGTTACGTCCATTAATAATTTAGCTTGTAATCAACAGATGATGTGTTAATGATGACAAACAATACACAGAAACGTAAATTACAGCAATTTTCATTCATAATTTTGCGTGCAAACAAATCAACCTACGATGAACTATAGTAAATAAAACCCGACAGGTAACGTTTGGAAACGAACAAAGTTTACTAATGTGATTTCAGCATTAACGGTAACCAAACGTAAACTGATCTCACATAAAGTATCTTACCTTTGATAGATGCGCTGGGAATGCGTTGAATTAAACCAACGCAGATCGCCGCTGTGTTTTCTTCTTCTGCGAATTCAAATTTCCCGGGGTGCCAAAACACGGAAGAGCGCCACGAGAGCCCTAGCGGCCGAAAGTATATCGCATCCGTAGTGGTTTAGCACTACCATTGAGAATGAATGGGAAACGGTTTAGGGCCGTTTAGCTAAAGAATCCCCGGCCGCCGCGCGGTAGAGAATTGTGTGTCATAAAATATTAAGCAGCGCAATTATTTTCAACGTAAAAAACAAATGCTTCTTCAGCACCAAATCATTATATTAGAATGATTTCTTAAGGATCATGTAACACTGAAGACGAGTAATGACAGCTGAAAATTAAAAAATATATTAAAATTAAATATACTCATATATATATGTGTGTGTGTGTGTGTGTGATCTTGGTCTTGGTCATAAATTTTACTGACCCTGAAGCTTTGGTGCCAGCAATTGTTTCCACATTGTTTTCTAAATGCAAGTGTCCTGAAAATTAATTTGAAAACCTTTGCCTGCTTTGATTTTATATCTCTGTGTTTGGTTATAGATTCCCTAAATGAGTCTCAGGAGTCAGTAGGCTTCAGCAACATCTCCTTCTTCACTCCAGCAAGGTACGTTTTGACAGTCACTGACACAACAACACTTTGTCTTTCTGTTTTCTGATGTTACACACTAAACACAGTAAAATAACTCATTAATGAACATTAATTCTAAGTAGAAGAGTCAACCATTAGCTGTTACTAAATGTCTACCTAAGTGTCTAGTTAAAAGATCAGAAGCTATTTAAGGATTTCTACAGGATCTCTGATTTACTCTGTGCTGTGTAGTTCTGACAGGTCTGCTGTAACTCTGGATCTGGATGGCATAGTGCAAGTACTGGACAGACATTTACACGATTCATCCACCGGAATGATGACTCGCATCGCTGTGTTGAAGTGGTTGTACCATTTGTACATCAAGACCCCTCGCAAGGTTTCTATAGATGGTATTTTAAATGTGCAGTTTCAATGCTAAAAAGTACAGTGCTAAACGTGTTTTATTCCACTTTATCTCCATGCCAGATGTTCAAGCACACAGATAGTTTGTTCCCCATGTTACTGAAGACACTATCAGATGAATCTGATGAAGTAAGTCATCATATTTTCCCAATCATCTCAGTGCAGGTCTACCAGATGCAGCAATTTTAAAGAACAAATCTCTCTCATAGGTGATTTTAAAAGACTTGGAGGTTTTAGCAGAAATTGCATCATCACCTGCTGGTCAGACGGACACATCTGGGTCGTGCGACAGCTCGGATAGCAAAACAGAGCTTTATATTCCAGGTGGGGTCAGAGATGGACAGCCAGTGGTGGTTGGTGGGTAACGATTCCTGGTCCTCTTTATATCTGTTTATATACCAGAAAAGAAGATTATTAACAGAATGCTGTGAACATGAAATCAAACAAGCTCTTTTTATTTGACAGGTTCAAAGGTGACAGATTTATCTCCATCGACTCCCAGCATGAATTCATACTTCTACAAGTTCATGATTAATTTGCTCAAGCGCTTCAGTTTAGAGAGGAAGCTTCTAGAAATGAGAGGGGCTTTCATTATCAGGTAAAACTATCCTAGCTCCTTTAATGAAGACTACTGTAGTTCCTCAATGGTTTAAACCTAGTAAAACTGTAGTAATCCAAGTAGAAACATCTGTAAATCTGAGTATACAAATAGATTCAACAGATTTTGTCAGTAAGTTTCGTCTACTTCTCAACAGGCAGCTGTGTCTCCTCCTGCATGCGGAGAACATATTTCACTCTATGGCGGACATCTTACTCAAGGAGGAAGATCTGAAGTTTGCCTCCACCATGGTGCAGACACTTAACACTATTCTGCTTACCTCAGCTGAACTCTTCCAGCTGCGGAACCAGCTCAAGGACTTGCGCACACAGGTAACATCTGCTTTGAGGACTGGGATCTTTAGAACAGACTCATAAAATCCAGGACGATTGTTTCTACTTGAGGTTTTGCATCTGTGCTCATTATCACTGTTTTATGTTTCCACTTTTTTACCCATCAGGAAAGCTGTGCTCTTTTCTGCTGCCTCTATCGCTCTTGGTGTCACAATCCAGTGGCCACTGTGTCGCTCTGCTTCCTGACACAGAACTATCGGCATGCCTATGACCTCATCCAGAAATTGTATCCTTGCCGTAAAGAGTTTATAATGTATCATTCGGTTTCAGACTGACTCAATATTCTTTATGCTAGTGTTGAAAAAAAGATGTGCTGCTTAATATTTTTGTGGAATCACTGATACATTGACAAGTCAAATAAATAGCATTGATCATTGATAAGTCAAATAAATAGCATTTATTTGAAATAGAAATCTTTTGTAACTATATAAATGTCTTTACTGTCACTCAATGTAATGTGTCCTTGCTAAATAGTGTTTATTTTTTTAAATATATATTTTTGAATCTTTCAGACCCCATACTTTTGAACAGTAGTTTATATAATTGGGATTTAATTAAAAAAAATTTTTTTTTTTTTGAAAAACAATTAAATTATTCATACCTACAGTCATGGAATGTGCAGAAATATCTGGAAATTTATTTTAAATTGTTATATAGAAGCAGGGAAAATCATTGAAATTTTGTACTGAAGTTTATTTTTAATGTTACATTTTAAATATTTTTATTATTTAATGAGTTCTCTGTAATCTAATGTGTAAAATATTTACAAAAAATATTTTGAGTAATCACAAACTAATGTAGAAGTAATTGAATTTAATTGATCAAAATGTGCCCGTACTCTAGAAATATATATTTTTAAAAAATGACAAAAACACCTTGATTTGAGCTGATCAGTGGAGACCTGGAGGTAACTGTGGACTTCCTCATGGAGGTGGATAAACTTGTGCAGCTAATCGAGAGCCCCATCTTCACCTGTGAGTCCCATTCATCCACCACATAAAAGTGTTGAGCATCATTTTCAGCTCTCCACACTAACACTCATTCTCTTTGCAGACCTTCGTCTGCAGCTACTGGATGTAGAGCATAACCCGTATCTCATCAAGGCTCTGTACGGCCTGCTGATGTTGCTTCCTCAGAGTCAGGCTTTCCAGCTGCTTTCACATCGGCTCAGCTGTGTGCCAAACCCTGCACTCATGAGGACCGTGTAAGTTCTCATGTGCTCTAAACAGTCTGACATCTTCTAGACTGGATATTCTCAACTGCTTTATTTTTTCAGGGAAGACCCAAAGGCACCCGTCAAAGACAAACGATTAGCCCAGCCATACATCGACTACAGTGAACTGCTCCAGCACTTTGACAGAGTCCAGAGCAAACACCTGGAAGTGAGGCATCAGAGGGCGGGACGCTCTGAGCACCCAGACAGGAAGTTGTAAAGGTCACATACAGGATGAGATTATGCAGCCTTTGTCCGAAAAGACTGGAACCTCAGTTGGACCTGTAGTGGGCATCTACGTGTCACCTTATTCAGTTTTTAATGTATTCAAGCTACTATAGGCATGAGGGACTTCAGTGTGCTTTATTTTTTATACTACGTGAAGTGCTTTATATTCAGGTGCTGGAGTTGATGTAGTATGTATATACTTGGACATAATTGGACTAGGTCATCTGTTACAGATTAAGGGCCAGTGGTTATATCATTCCCAACTGACTGGTTTAATATAACCCTCCCCAAACCATTTGTACAAAATACCTTGCATGTAGCCCTGGATGTTTATTAGAAATTTTTATCTAAAACTTGATGTCTTCTCATGACAAGTACTGTAAATGAGTCTTTAATGGACAATTGTCTTTTTTTGTATTGCGATTTTATCTCTCACACAAACCACATCCAACAATATTCAGTTTCCTCAGCATTCCCTTAGGAGTCTGCTTGTCCTTTTTCCCACGTTAACATATTCATTCTTGGTCTTATGTACATGCAAGCTGTTTCTCTGTAATGTGAAGACAAAGTTACAATAAAGTGGACCATGATCATTATGTAGTTTTTGTTTGTTTTCTTGAATCACATGCTGCTTATCAGCACGAGAACCCCAGAATCTCACTTTTTACAATCCAGCAGATGGCGCTATTGTATTTCACTAAGAAAACGTCTTGGCTGTGGCTGAGAGAGAAACGCTTAATGTCTTACCGAAAATCACTAGACGCTTCTTTTTTAAATGACTGAATTTCGCTATAGATAACCCAAAATCGAAATTTTAAGTTATACATACCGTTTATGAGGAATTTACAGTTACATTTTTTACATTCCTAAAATTCTTTCTCCGTACTTCTCGTTAGTATAGTGGTAAGTCATCGGGCGGGAGACCGGGGGTCGACTCCCCGACGGGAAGAGCATGTTTTGGTTTTTCTGAATGTCTCTGTCTGCGTCCATAATGTACGCGAGAGCTCAACACATCATACCTTCTGATGGCTTAAAATGTATGAAATGACGAGCTTTTTGTAATTCAAATTAAAAATCTTACATAATAGTTATTTTATTCAATCGAAAACAGCTCTTTTAGTGGAGAGGGTGGAAGATAAGGACGGTTTATGATTTATGCGCTGCTTGATTAAATAGAAAGAAACACGACGCAGGGAAACAAGCTCGGAACAGCTCCATGAAATTCGTGTGTGGCCAAAAATATAACGCATCGGTAGGGATTAGCACTACCATAGAGAATGAATGGGATAAGTTTAGGGAAGATAAGCGTTTAAAGCGGTCATATTGATGCTATTTTAAAGATCATTATTTTGTGTATTTGGTGTAACAGAATATGTTGACATGCTTTAAAGGGGTCATATGATGTTGCTAAAAAGAACATTATTTTGTGCATTTGGTGTAATGAAATGTGTTTATGCGGTTTAAGGTAAAAAAAAAAACGCATTATTTTCCACATACATTATTGTTTCTCCTCTATGCCCCGCCTTTTTTAAACGCGTTGATTTTTACAAAGCTCATCGGTCTGAAAAGCGAGGTGTGCTCTGATTGGAATAATTGAAATCGCATCATATGAACACTTTAATGTTCAAAAAACACATCATTTTTCAAATACTGTGCATTATTGTAGTTCCTCTATGCTCCGCCTCTCTCAAACGCATCGTTTTCTACAAAACAAAACCTCCTTCCGAAAAGCACAGTCTGCTCTGATTGGCCAGCTGAACCAGTGCATTGTGATTGGCCGAACACCACAAGCACGCATCGGAA